ACTGGGGATTGTTCTAGGAACCCTTGAGGACCCTTAAAGGAAGCTCAGACCTCACGAGCCTTTGCTCCCCAAACACCCAAGTCACACAGGAGCGCCTCTCTGTTTCCCTGCCAGGCAACATGTTTGTCTTCTACGCAACTGCAACCGCCCAACAGAATGAACACGCCACGGACGACCGTGGTGCCGTTCTGAAGAGGGGGTTGGTAGCCGCAGAGCCTTGAATGCAACTCAATCACCTCTCTGTGTGAACGGCACAAAAGAGCCAGTGAGAGTGAGACAGCCGCTGCTTTGCGCAGGCACTGGGGTGTAGCTGACCTGCAGCAGGTAATGTTCTCTCTAGTTACCGGTTTCCCATGAAGCCTGAATCTTGTGAACACACCCAAATATGAATAGCTCTGCAGTGCCAGTTTTCCTCCTGGAGGCACTGGGACTCCAGGGAGGAGGCAGGTCAGCCGGATACGCTGCAGATATGGGTTGAATTAAAAACTGTATGCTCTGGTTTTTATGACAGTCTCTCAATAAAATAAATAACATAATGAGATTTGCACCACTGGCTATTACTTTCATAGTTAAAGCATTCAATTTCATTGCTGACATTTAAATGAAGATAATTTTCCTATTACATTTTTGTGGATCTTGGTGGCTTATTGTACTATTATTTTCACAAAAGACTGCTTCTGTAAAATCATATAGCTGACAGAACTTAACTGACCAGACTTGTAACTGATTGACATCATTCTACAATGTAAGGATAAATTCATTCAAAGTATGCACACTTTCTCCTAATGGTTTTTCCTCTCTGAATATTACTTTAGGTTTTACGCTAACCATTCCGATCCTGGCTGAGGGCTCCTGTGAATTTAAACTCCGTGCTTGGTGGCCAACAACTTCCCAGTCATCTGGCTCAACTAATTATTCACAACTGAATGACCCATTATTGACAGTTCACTGACTCTATTCAGTTTGTGAAGGCACCAATGACAGGAAAGTCACCACCGACCCAAATTAAGTCCAGTATTCTCATGGCCTACATTTGCAGCACTAAGTGGCAAAATCGACATGCTTCAACAATTTAGCACTTTCGAAGGATTATCTCATATAGACATTCTTGACGGGCTTGAGTCAAGATCCTTTGAAAAATGACCACCATTGTGACTTTGTCAGGATCTTGACCCTGAAGTTTGGGGCTAGAAACCCTTTGTTCCTCTGAAACTTATGAATAGATGCTGAAAAAACATAAGCGCTAACCTGTGTAGGTCAAGCAAACTGTTACTCAGGGAAATACAGTTTAAACTGTTTGGTAGTAGTTCTTATACACTGCTACTCCACACATGCAGTATTCAAATTTGAATCCCACTTTAATAGCAGTGCAAAGTTCTTTCATTATCTCAGTCCTGGTTATCAGGATATACATCACAGATTTCAATGAAATTGATTTCAGTGAAATTTCATGTAGACTTAGGCAATGACCCAAGGACCAAGGGGTTACGTTGGATAGCACCACTTTTGCAAGGCACTCAGTAACTTGTACCTCCAGTACCTTGAGGCATCGAGTGGTTTTATATTACAGAGGAACCAGTGTGTCACTAGCAATCGCAATTAATGATTATGATTCCAAGTCCTGCCAGATTATTGTCCATACTTTAAGCCATATCCAATAAAATACAATGCGCAAAAGCCTTAGCTTTTTCTCAGATTACTAGCTTTGAGTACTGAATTTTAACTATTCCTTTCACAAATTTTATCCAATCATCCAAAAATGTGATAAATGTTCAGCTGATAAACAACACGCAACACCTCTGAACACCCCTGTGTATCTGAGGTATAACACTACTATGAAAAATGGCCATAACTTAGAACCCATAAGTCTGCTTGCTGTATATTTTCCAAATTTCATCCTTGTACAAACACCTAAACATGCCTGAGCAGAACTGGCTTCAAAAATCATGACTGCCATTGGCCAATTAGAATTTAAACAGCTGATAAAGACCTGACATGTTCAAAACAGAGCTGATTCATGTATTTCCAAATTTCAACACATTTTCACCTTGCTGGTATTTAATGGTGTTATTTCTGAGGAAAGACAAGTCTGTAAACTGATGCTGAATGATGGCATGTACCAGTGTTACTAGAGCTGCATGGGGGAGGTGAACAATGCTGTCATTGTCAGCTGTGGGCATCCACATAGTTTCTTTGCCATAACATAGCAAATTGACAGACTGTTGGTAGCTTGAAGGCTTAAAATGAACTTAACTCAGATTATCTACAGCAAATATGAACATATTTAATTCGCCAGGGTCAACCAGGGCACTACTGGTGGTCATCCTATATTCTGGTTTCTGGGAACCTTTAATCAATAGACCTATTTGGGAAGAGAGAACTTCATATGCCACACAAATGGTTTCAACCAGTATTGGCTTTTGAAACTTTAAGTGAAGCTGCCAGTGGCTGCATACATGTCTGTGAATAAGAATACCTTAAATTAAATTAAATTGATGAACCAAAGAATGAACTGAAGGTTATTTTGAAAATCCATGATCATTTAAATCATTCAAAATACAGTATGTTATAAAGCTACTTTTGCACATAAATAGTGCAAAATATTTCCCTGTAGGTCATTTATAAATAAAATAAACACTATATTTTAATGTAGGTGTAACCAGGAAAGAATCTCAGAGGTATTCCACATGACAGGCAAATAAATTATGTTTCAAAAAGATAAATGACCTGATATATTGCTCTAACTGCAACAGACCTGCAGTTTTCAGTGGATCAATGACAGGCCTCTCTAATGAGGAGGCTAACTTGTAATAAATATGTAATATGTCCCAGCCGTGCGAGGACAGTGCATATGATAACTCAGCACCACACAAAGCAGGGAATCCAATTTGTTCAACTAGAATTACTTAATTCGATGATGAATGAGCCAAGAAACTTCCCAGTAGCCAGCTTTTCCTTTGTCCGACTGTGTGTGCACAGAGGACGTTCATGCATCTCAGTGGTCCTAATGTTTGACTCTAGAACATGGGGACACCCTGCAGCTGCTCATGGTAACAGAAAAAGAAGCAGATGACATAGGTGAGACCTAGAAATGGCAAACACCATATTGAATGAAACGAGAAACTCCAGAAGTGTCTATTAAAAGAACACTTAGACCAAAGATTCAAAATGTGTTGAAGCTTCAACAGGCCTGCTACAGACCATCTGTGTTTGCCCCACATTGGCATTTGCTTGCTGGCACTGTAATGAATCATATAGTTTAATTTTTTTTTAAATAAGATCCTTCTAGGTTTGTTGTAGCCACAGCATCAGTGATAAATGGTTATGTAGGCGAAAATCTGAGGACTACAATATCTCTTGTTTATAAATTCACATGAAAACAAGTTCGGTCGGATTCTGCAGCAATTACATCAAATTGTTAGCAGATATCTGTAAACTAGGAGATTCAGGCATAAGAATGACTTACAGTAAGACCTGCTTTCTCATCTACTGCAACATGTTTGATGATAATAATAATAATAATAATAAAGAGGATCAATAAGCCATGAAAACACCAACTGGACTGCAGGTGCCACACAAACTAATAAAAGATAAGGCCCCAACATGATTATGATTTCACAGGTCTCCTTTTCTGATAAGAGCAGGAAAGCCAGCAGGTGCACTTCACAACCACATGCCTGGCTAAATCATAAAAAGCCACATTCACACACTACCCAGCATGAACTGCTATGGCCGACATCTTTTCCTTTTGATTGATGAAAAAACAAATGAAGTTGCAGCTCTGCAAACCTCCCAGGACTGTGCAGTCTCAGCTGCTTGACATGGCAACAAGAAAAATATGGCTCATGTGCAAACCTTTATGGGTACCTTTATCCCCCACCCCCTGCTCTTTATTTATTTATTTTTTCCATAGAGCATAAAATGTGTGTAACAACACCCACTGGCTTCCAGCGGCGGTGACTGCCCAGGCATGCTAATATGGCCACTGACTAATATGCACCTGCCTGAACACACCCTGAAACTGGAAGCTCACACTGAGGAGTCAGTGGATTGGATTTAACGACAAAACACAGCCTATAAATCCCTGCAAAGAGAGTGTTCATGTGTGAGCAGGGAGCTGCTGTTAGGAGGGAGGTGGACCGCCCTGCAGCAAATAAAGGCAGGTTTCTCCTCGATGTGTGTCCATCGGTGACTCTGCAAATGAAGCTGCACTTTCAGTTCCTATACACACATATATAGCCTGTGGTCATACAGTCCCAGACCTTTTAACTCAAGCACATACATTTTTAAATCCAGCGACAAAACGGGAATGGGAAGAGGATCTGCAATGCGTAGCCAGCCCAGCTCCGTCCTGGTGCGACCACAAGGTTGCCAAACCAAGCGTTAGACCCGCTACCGGAGGAATAAAGCTGCGAGGTGTAATCACACGGATTCTTAAAAAAAGGGGGCTAAATAAACATAATCACTCGAATTAAATTTAAATCAAATACCTTTAAAATCAAGATGAATGTAGGGAGTACCAGACCCAGGCAAGTTAAAAACCAGATTATATAGTGGGTGCAGAATATGTTCAATCATTAAACAGGACTAGAAGAGAACAGCACCCAAAAATAGACTGAATACAGATGACAAACCGGGGTCGTTTCGTGGCCTTGATAGTATCTGAAAGTACTTAAGATATTAGGGCAAATTGTTTGTGGAGATAATAAAGGTTGCTAGAATATGACGCTAATGCGTAATGCTGGGTCTTGTGTGGTTTAAATGTACAAGCTATCGCGGGATGCACTTGCTGCCGCCGGGATACATCCGGAGCTGACTATCCACAAGCAGGTTACTGATCACGCATCCCTCAGGAGCACGCAACCTGTAACGGCGCTGGTTTAACCTTCAGCATCTGGAAACAACCAGAAGGCTCCAGACAAGCGTTTAACTTTCAGCCCCACTAAGAAACACGCACAGGCAGACAAAACACAACGGGATATAAATCCCAGCTTAGTTACCTTTAGCTGCCTCCACCGCACATAATAGTCCGAGGACCAGTCCGACAGCGGATGCAAATTGTTTATTCCCTCGGAACCGCATCCCGACTTCGAGTTCAACCGCGGCGAAGTAAAAAACAACCTTCTTCTTCCCTTGTCAGTCAGGCTGGATGTTTCTCTACCAAGAAAAATAAAATCCAGAAGATGAGTGTCGGTTACCACGGTAGCTCTAAGATGGCCGTCGTCGCCACCGCCGCTCCACTCTCCCCTTCGATCACCGCGTCTCTCGCAGTTTTGCAGCTTGCTGTGTTCAAGGGCTGTCGGAAAGTTTTAAGAACCGCTGCGAGTGCACTGACCCGTACAGAGCTTGTTACACATTCTTGCGTTCCCCGTGACTGGTTTTTTTCTATCTAACCACCGAATCACAATATAAACACACAAGAAGGCGAACGTGGAGATTTATTTCGCTAGAAGCCATGAAGAGTCAGAACTCGTGGTTTCCTATTTAAAACCAACAAAAGAACAACAGAAAAATGACATTATAAGTAAGAGTTCCTTCAGGGGAGCAAGGCTTGATTATCAACTGGGCAAACTGACCTTGGACTTCAGAAATCCAAGGGCCCTGAAAACCCATAGTTTATTGTATGTCAGCTGGTTTGTGCAAGTCTCAATTTTAATTGTTGTGGATATGCACAACTAGGACTCATCATAAAGTGTTTTATGTCAAAATATAGGTTTAAACACATAAAATTTTGCACAGCAAAGGAAAATTGTAGGCCTACCTATTGCCTAAAGACAGGAATGGTGGGTTAATTAAGGCCCAATGACTACTTTTTATCCCAGGGTCCCTTTGCATTGTTAGGTATTTTTAGTCAGATAGATATTGGATAGATATTTTATGTATTAGAAATGTTTAGTGGAGATAGGATGTATAGTTAGACTGTTAAATGCTTAGGCCTGCTTATGAGTTTCTACAGGGTACATCTGGTCAAGGATAACTAGAGAGAAAAGTTGATGACTGTCAGCAGACAGGGTGTTTAATATTATTATTATGACGTGTATAACTGTAGCCTTAGCCATAATATGTTCTTATGTTTAAGTCACAACATGTACTAGAGGTCGTGAGAATGTTTTTAGCTACACACCACTTAATCAACAGACACACACATTCACACGTTGATTAGCTTCATGTTTTGACTACTGCTATGACCAGCTGCAAAGCTGGCAACAGAGACGTCTCGGTTGACGTTTCTGTGTAGTATGGGGCTAGCCCGACCGAGGGGATATAATGTATAGGCCTGGTAGGTTCAGGGCCTTTCATCTTACATCTGCCTGCGTGCAGGTTGGAGGTGCAAGATACCTGAGCGTGTAATGTTAATTTTACCTGTGATCCTTTGAATAAATCAGCACTGTTTTATAGTTACTGGACTGCCTTGTCTCTCAGAGTCAGTGTGGTAAAAAGTACGGGGTACAACAGCATGTTAATCCAGCTATGTTTGGAAGGACAGTGTTGTTTTCTCCAGCCCTAGTTTTCAAATTGTATGTGAAAGAAACATAAATGCCAAAAGCACTTATTACTAATACATCATTTAAACACACTTAATCATCATACACTCTGCATGCTAATACATTTGTTGATTAATAATTTTAAAAAGTAGTTATAAACAATAAAACAAAACTTGCACCCCAATCCCCTGTAAATGTATGGGTTACACAACATGTGAAGTTCTGTAAGCAGGTGACGGCTGAAACATCTGGGAAAATGAAAGTCTGTGTTTTTTGCTTGCACCACTGACACAAAGCCACGGGTAATCTTTTGTTTATCCTTACAAGAATGTTTAGGTGGAACATGCACTTCCCAGAAAACTTTCTCACATCAGGTGCATGAGCCAACAAACTTTTAATTTATTTTATTTTTTAACTAATATCCTTACAAGAACAAAATCTCTGAGACAACCTGGGAAGAAAAGTCTACATAGGGATCCTGGTTTGTTAGGCATTCACATCTGCAAATTATGTATCAATCAACATCCTTTGGTGGACTGTGCAAACACCAGGCACCATTATGGAGGTAAATCCAGAACTTCATCATTACATCCATGACAAACTCTGATAGGTTGTATTTAAATATTTGAGTATGTTTCACTAAACCCAAACCAAAACGTCTGTATTTAAAAGTTAAATTATACAGTCTGATTAAAGTGTTGAAGTCATTCTGGTTTTCTAATGCTTCATTCGGCTGAAAATATGTCTCTTTCTCCTATCCTCTAAAATTAACACCCAAATATAGGTTATCTACTTTTGTTCAGTCTGTTTCTTTCCAGCCCGTCTTTTCAATCACTTCTACAACGTAAGTTTTAAGAAGTCGGAGCTTAAGAGGAGAGCCTGAAGGCAGCATCGGTCCAAAGCTGGGCAGTGACGTCAATACTGTTATTGTGAGGGCATGCAGCTCGTTTAGCACAAACGCCTAAACTAAGACTGAGGGCGGGGGCCAAATATCTTCTGGTGCTACAAAGGGGTCTGTGTTGAAAATAGGCACCTAGTGACCATCATAAAGTGAAGTGCATTGCCGAATTATACACAGCATTTACAGAGGGGCCAACTGGTTCCCGCTTGCCTGGTAGACCCAGAAAACTGAGAAATATTTAGTAAATTTTGTCCAGAACAGTCACACAGACTGTCATCAATAGTTATGTGCCAGAAACGGGATGTTTTAGGTCCCCCTAGTTCTCATTGGTTGTACAGAGTGGAGGACATTGCTGACAATGTGAGGAACCATAGAGTGTGCGGGCTTGAGGCCCTGGCTTGATAATCCAGGCTCAGTAAAATGGATATTTCAGCAATATGACTCTGCCAGAATGTGACAAACTTAAACGTGTTAAACTGTTCATGTGCCTCTGAGGCCAGAAAGTTTTTTAATCCTTTAGTTCAGACAGCCGAGATTGGACTTTCTAAATCTGAAATGCGTTCATGTTTAAATTTCACAGAGCAACTTTCGGAAAAATCCTCACAGCACACGTGACTTGTACAATATTCAATAAAAACGAGCATCATGTTGATCATTTAAGAGTTAACCACTATCCTCACCCTGCAGAACAACCACACAACAGCAAGTGCATAGCAATGTGAGAATAGCAAGCCCTCAAACTGCAGATGTGGGTGGGGGCTGCTATGCAATCAACACCCTCGGATAGAGCCTAGATAGCACCCCTGAGGTGAGGGGGATGAGATGCAATCAGAGAATTATTTATTAGCATCTGCATCACTGTTTTTCGCATCATACTGAGCAACCTCGATATGGCTGCTACTCATGCAAAATTCAGACACGTAAATTTAATTAGTTGTCTTACAAATCAGAGCAGTTCACAGGAAAAGGTCAGCAGGCCATAATGGAAAGTCTTGCTGTGAGTTTGTTGATAGAAAGTGAAAATGAGACCTTACACAAGCTTTGTTGTACAACTGCAGTGTTACATATTGTCAAGTTTGCCTTCTCCAAAATAAAAAAATAAACTAGAATTATGCATCTGCCAACTTGTCACAGTTACCTTGACCTCAGCTCTAAATGATGACTAACATCCTTTAAATAATGAGCTTTTCCTTCTGGATGAAGGTTTACAGTCCCAAAATATAGAACAAGCTGGTATAAAATAGTTTTGTGCCAGTAGCCATTAATTGAATGAAAAAGTTGTAGTAATTTTGTGCAGAGGATGTAAAATGTTTGTTTGTACTTATTTAGTGAAAAGTGGAATTTAGCATTTTATTGTCTTGACTGTTTTTTAAATGTATGTTATGAGGTGGACAACGTCTCTCAGCTGCAAATCAAATCTACCTATGGGTACAAATATAAAGTAACCTAGAGCTGAAGCACTAGACGTCAGTTCTCTTTCAAGTGTTGCAGTTATCACAGAGAAACAGACAAGAATGACATAGTTGTGGCTGCTACAAGTTAGTGATGGGTTTATAAACAGGGACAGTCTGTGGGCATCGGGGCAGCAGCAGAGCTGAAGCACAAAGCCTATTTGTTTCTAGTTTGGCAACACATGAAGCGGCCAAGAGAAAGTGGAAGCACCCCCATTCACAGATGTCCAGCACTCTGAGGATGACACAGGCTGGCCATTATCATTCATTCCTCTGGGGGCACAATGGCAGGCAATAGGAGGGCTTGGTGGATAGGTGTGAGACACCAACAATGACCAGAAAGGTGTTACTTCCTCCAGAGCATCTCGACCACTGCTGTGAGTGATGGTTACTCTTTGAGGAGTTGCAGGTTTAACAATAGTGAGGTGGTGGTTCTTATGGATCTGTAGAAGTGAATGAATGTTTTCTCACCCTTTTATGAAGCTGTTCCCTTTGACTCTTTGTTAACTACAGGACATCTTCTCACTCAGCAGAAGTATTTAGTCAGGGTTATGAGATGTCTGTCTTCTTCCTCCCCTCTAATACAATGGAGCTGAGTCAGATTTAGTCTGTGGCTCACATAGCAGTGAACATGAGCATTTAAAATAGCAATTTGTCATTTGTTAAACTATGTCTCTGTTAATCTGGATAATCCACAGACCTTGCTATAAATAGTTTTCACTGGACGTGGTCTGTACCAAAGAAATACTCCTTAGAAAAACTATGGCATTTAACTGATGTGCAGATGAGAAAGTGTTTAGGTTTATTTTTTTTGTTTGTAATTTGGGCGAAACTGAGTTTTAACTGTAACTGATAGTAATATTCAGTAAAAGTGTTTATGATGAAGTCTGTGACAAAGAAATGGGAAATTGAACAGCAACTATTTAGATGATCAACTAATTGTTTAAATCAGTTTCCAAACATGGAATTTGACAGTTCTTTAAGATAAAACTAAACATTTGATGATGTCACTTTGGCCCCAGGAAATTGCAGTTAGCATTTTTTTTTTTAGTTGTATAAGTTTTATAGATTAAATGTGGACGGGAAACTAAATCCCTAATTAATTTATAAGGAAAATAATCTTAGCTGCAGCTCCAGACAAACTGGAGATGATGTTTAGGAAACGTGTGTTTATGTAAAATGGACAAAAACTTAAACCTGGTAAAATGTTGATGAATCCCATGCAGGGCTGACGCTTCAACTCAATGTCAACTAATACATCCATCATTCGACATATGTAGGTAAAGGTATGTTACACAATGGTGGGAAGTAACTAAGTATATTTACTTAACTACTGTACTTAAGTATAATTTTGAGGTATTTGTACTTTACTTTTCACTTTCTACTACTTTATACTGTGCACTACATTTTAGAAACACATATTTTACTTTTTACTTCAATAGGTTTATTTGATG